TGGAAGTTTGGCATTTACTGTGTTGTTGAATGCAGCCAGATCAGATTTCAAATGACAAATGTTGTGTCATCTGCAAATAGAGCTGGTTTAAATTCCCATGCCTCATTAGGATGGTCATTAGTGTAGGTAAAGAATAGTAAAAGACCCAGGACACCACCTAGTAGAACTCCTATATTGATCAATTGGGTTGATGAAGAACAGTCATTAAGGGTCATATGTTGGTGTCTGTCACTTAGACAAGATTTCACATATGAAGGAGCATGTCCTCTGATTCCATAATGTTTTAATTTGAGCAGCAGAATGTTGTGGTTTATTATATTGAAGGCTTTTTTTTTTTTAGGCCGATAAACAGGCTTATTGAATATTCATTATTTTCAAAAGAGGAATATATTTAGCTGAACACTTTCATTATTGCATCATTGGTACTTTGCCCCAATCTGAAGCCAAACTGACATGGGTTAAAGATACTGTGTGTGGTTAAGAATTTGTTATTTTTTTTATGTTATTTTTTTTATTGTTATCACACTGGCCGATTCCCACCAAGGCAGGGTGGCCCGAAAAAGAAAAACTTTCACCATCATTCACTCCATCACTGTCTTGCCAGAAGGATGCTTTACACTACAGTTTTTAAACTGCAACATTAACACCCCTCCTTCAGAGTGCAGGCACTGTACTTCCCATCTCCAGGACTCAAGTCCGGCCTGCTGGTTTCCCTGAACTCCTTCATAAATTTGTATATTTGTTTAAATGCGGTATTTTTTTTTTTTATCAACTTTAGACACCAATGGGAAGTTTGACAATGACTTGTGCATAATTATTGACTTTCTGTTGGGTCACCACTTTTGTAAATTTGTTGTAACTTTTGCTAGTTTAAGAATGTTAGGGAACATTTTGGCTAATTTATTGAACATTGCTGCAGTTGTTGTGGTAGCACATAAGAAGCTTTCTTATACAGTGGACCCCCGGATTACGTAGTTGTCAGATTTCGTAATACACCTACCATCCGACTTAGGACCGAGCTTGGTTCCGACCAACCGGTTGTAAGTCAAAATGGATGTAAGTCGAACTTTACTACTGAATATCAACATCACATTTTTGTAATGACTTTATATTATTGTTTTATTTTGGTATTTAATTTTTTACTTTACTTTTTATGCTGTTAGTACTGTATTTTGTACTGTAAGATTTAGGATAAACACTGTGTATAACACAAACAGTTGTTTATTTCCCAGAAATTTGGTATAAAAAACACGGTCGTAAGTCGAGTGGTCGTATGTCGAGCAGGTTGTAAGTCGGATGGTAGGTGTATTTGGAATAAGTAGCTTTTTTTGTCAAAATATTGGCTCGGTGATCATCATTGAACAAGGTAATAGTCGTTCATCCTGAATGTGTCCGCACAGCCCGAGCAGCCCGACACACCATTTACAGCCAGTGTGCCATTGTTTGTCAGCCAGTGAAGACGATCCCACGTGTTCATACGATACATTTTGTATTCCATTCTTTTTAGTGGTTGCAACTGCTAAATAAGCCACCATGGGCCAAAAGAAAGCTCCTAGTGCCAGCCCTTTGGTAAAGAAGGCAATAAACACGATAGAAATCAAGAAAGAACACACCAGCCAGGGTACTTCCCCACACACCAGACAGGATACTTCCCCCACACGATTTGATTTGAGCGGGACTTGCACATGAGTGAATAGAACAATCAAAGCTTATTTCTTAGGTAGCATTGAAAATTGGGTTGGACACATATTCTGTTAGTGGGATGGTTTGTGAAGGAACTGCCTAGTATGGGCCAGCAGGTCTGCTGCAGTGTTCCTGCTTTTTTATGTACACCAGCCAGGGTACTTCCTCACACACATCAGCCAGGGCACCTCCCCACACACCAGCCAGGGTACTTACCACACACCGCCCAGGGTATTTCTCCACACACCAGGCAGGGTACTTCCCCACACACACGATTTGATTTGAGTTGGACTCGCACATGAGTGAATAGAATTATCAAATCTTATTGCTTGGGAAGCATTGAAAATTGGGTTGGGCAAATACGATTCTGTTAGTGGGATGGTTTGTGAAGGACCTGCCTAGTATGGGCCAACAGGCCTGCTGCAGTGTTCCTGCTTTCTTATGTTCTTATGTATACCAGCTGAGGAAATTGCTTCAGAGGAAGAGAGAGAGAGAGAGAGAGGGAAGAAGGTGCCTTCTTCCATGATTAAGGACATTTGTGCAAAGTGGAGTGAGATGCAAACATTTGTGGAGGAACATCACCCTAACTCTGGTGGCCTGGTGGTTAACGCTCTCGCTTCACACGGTGAGGGCCTGGGTTCGATTCCCAGCCAGAGTAGAAACATTGGACGTGTTTCTTTCCACCTGTTGTCTATGTTCCCCATCAGTAAAATGGGTACCTGGGTGTAAGTCGACTGGTGTGGGTCGCATCCTGGGACACTGACCTAAGGAGGCCTGGTCACAGACCGGGCCGTGGGGGCGTTGACCCCCGGAACCCTCTCCAGATAAACTCCAGATAAACTCCAGATAACCCTCTCCCCTCCTCCCATCTTCCATACACCAACAAGAGTCTTCAATAAAGGTAAGTGTGATATTATTGTTTTATACTCGATTTCTCATTCTTTCCTGTGTGTAAATCTATATTTGTAGATGAATGGTTCAAAGAACCGACACGTTGTTAAATTAGACACGTGTCGGTTCTTTGAACCATCCATGTACAATCCTGTCAGACACTGCAACTTCTTGGGATCTTAATGCTACTTGGGAATTCTTTGCTTGCCTTAACCTTGGGCACGACCTACTTCCACATTGGACAAATGTGACACCACCTACGACTGCTGCACCTCTCCTGCCATATGGTTTATAAGCTGCTTCTCCGTTCATATGCCGTATTCTATTCAAGATTGATGGACTGACCACATCGACTCAAGGTCGAGGGACTGATTACCTCATTCTCCTCCTGTTCTTCAAGTTTATCCTTTGTATGGACTGATGAAGCCACTGTGTGGCGAAACGTTTCCTCAGTAAAGATACCCAAGAGTTGCACATGTGTCTAATTTAACAAATCTATATTTAATCTTTAAAAAAAATAATTTTTGTTAATACTTTTGGGTGTCTGGAACGGATTAATCAGATTTACGTACATTTTTTCTTATGGGGAAAATGAATTCGGAAATCGTCAGCTTTGGGTTTAGTCACTCTTTCTGGAACGGATTAATTACGGAAACCAGGGGTCCACTGTATATTAGTGGTGGTATATGTGCTGTTGGAGTGTGAGCAAGATAATTTTATAAAGGGATTCAGGGAAACTTGTTAGCCAGGCTCCAGTCCTGGAGGTGGGAAAGGTAGTACCTACTCTTTGAAGAAGTAATGATGTTGCAGTTGGAGAGTAATCAGAGTCAGCACACTTCTAGCAAGACAGAGATTGCATGAATTATGGTGTGAATGTATTTTCTTCTTTGGGTCACCCTGCTTTGGCAGGAGGTAAAAAAAAAAATCAATAGTTATATTTTCTTTGTAATCTATATTCAAGGAATTATTAATTTATAAGAATTTAGTGGAGTATTGTGCAACAATATGAACAAAGTAGAATGACTTGGAGAGCATATAAATCTGTAGTGGGAGGAAGGTGGGGTAGGGGCCAGCCTAGGAAAGGTTGGAAAGAGGGGGTAAAAGAGGTATTGTGGGTGAGGGGGCTTGTAAGTGTACGTGAGCATGTTAGATAGGAATGAATGGAGATGAATAGTTTTTGGGCTCTGATGAGCTGTTGGAATGTGAGCAGGGTAATATTTTCTGAAGGGATTCAGGGAAATCAGTTAAAACTGCACTTTAAAGGAGGGGTTTGGGATATTGGCAGTTTGGATGGACATCTAAATTGTCATATCTGAGCGCCTCTGCAGAGACAGTGATTTTGCATGAGTGATGATGAAAGTGTTGAATGATGATAAAAGTTTTATCTTTCTTTTTGGGGTTTTCTTTCTTTTTGGGTCACCCTACCTTAGTGGGAAATGGCCGATGTGTTAAAAAAAATTATACAAAGATTTTTTTCTTTATCAAATGTTATTAATCATTAGAATTTAATACAGTGGAACCTCAAATATCGAACTTTCTTTGGTCCAGAAGGCTGTTTGAGTGCCTTTACCGAATGAATTCATTCCCCTGAGGAATAATGTAAATTAGGTTAGTCCATTTCAGACCCTCAAAAATACACTTATAAAAGCACTTACAAAAATACACTTACATAATTGGTTGTGTTGGGAGCAGTTCGATTTTTGAGGTTCCACTGTATCTTTATACTGTAAAGGTATGACTGTAGATATTAATGTTCTTCTCATGAGCAGTGCTTTTTATATTTTGGAGTTAATACTGTATTTCGTGGTTTATAAGACACTCCGATGCATTAGGTGCATCCCAATTTAGAAGGTAACTGGGACGTAACTGGGAGAGCTACAGCCCACCTCACACCCCAAACTTATAGCTCCCATCACTGACCTTCAGTTTATAGGACGCAGGATGGTTTTTGGAGACATTTTATGGACAAAAAGCCTGCGTCTAATAAGCCGCGAAATACGGTAATACAGTGGACCCCCGGTTTACGATCAGCTCCCAATGCGACCAATTATGTAAGTGTATTTATGTAAGTGCGTTTGTATGTGTATGTTTGGGGGTCTGAAATGGACTAATCTAATTCACAATATTCCTTATGGGAACAAATTCAGTCAGTACTGGCACCTGAACATACTTCTGGAATGAACTAATATCGTAAACCGGGGGTCCACTGTATATTTTTAGTTTGTGACTTATACAGTGCCTGCACTGAAGGAGGGGTGTTGTTGTTGCAGTTTTATAACTGTAAATGCACCTCTGGGAAGATAGTGATGGAGTGAATGATGATGAAGGTTTTTCTTTTTCGGGCCACCCTACCTTGATGGGAAACGGCCGATGTGTTAATAATAAAAAATAATGTACATATTATTTTTGTTATGGCTGACTTGCAGGTAAATGTATGCAGAATGTAGGGGTTCACGCAGGAGACTCAAGAGATAGTTTGGGACGTGGTCGTTTCTTCCCTTTTGTTCCTGAACATCATCTGGTTCCTGGTCATATTGGTCCTAAAAACTGGTACTGGGACTGGATATATTATCCATCTAAAGTTGTGAGTGTCAACTCTGCAGAAAGTACTGAACAAAATTTAGTTTTATGTTTCACTGCAGATTAACGTGTGCAAAACCTCCAATTCATTCCATCAGACATATGTTGTAGATTTTCTTATTAATATATATATGAAGTATATATTTTTTTTACCTTCCTCTTACTATAAATCTAGCACTGTTTCTGTATTCAGGTTCCATGAACCAGTAGTTGAATAGCAACCTGCCAGTAGACCTTCTTATTACAATAGAAATATACTCTATAATCACTTGTAATCCAATCAAGTAAATAGTTATGAATAAGGGATAGATAAATCTAAAGTAAAATATGAAGCAAATGTATACTGAAGCCCAAGAAAATCAAGTGAAAACAGCCATAAAACACTAAATTTTATACCACTCCTTCTTTACCTTATCACATCACATATAACCACATTTAACTAATATGACACCTCACCCTACAAGCCATATCACTAGTTGTCTTTTGTTTGAAGTATTTCACATTAATATCTATTAGGGTAAGTTATAAACAACTACAGTGGACCCCCGCTTAACGATCACCTCCAAATGCGACCAATTATGGAAGTGTATTTATGTAAGTGCGTTTGTACGTGTATGTTTGGGGGTCTGAAATGGACTAATCTACTTCACAATATTCATTTTGGGAACAAATTTGGTCAGTACTGGCACCTGAACATACTTCTAGAATGAAAAAATATCGTTAACCGGGGGTCCACTGTATTATTATCCAGAGGACTGAGGAGGGGTTATTGAAGTGGCTCAGACATGTAGAGAGGATGGAACAAAATTGAGAGTGTATAAGTCTGTAGTGGAGGGAAGGTTGAGTAGGGGTCAGCCTAGGAAAGATTGGAGGGAGGGGGGTAAAGGAGGTTTTGTGCGTGAGGGGCTTGGACTTACAGCAAGCATGCGTGAGCATGTTAGATATGAGCGAATGGAGACAAATGATTTTTAGGATTTGATATGCTGTTGGGGTGTGAGCAAGGTAACATTTATGAAGGACTTCAGGGAAACTGGCAGGCCAGACTTGAGCCCTGGAGATGGGAAATACAGTGCCTGCACTCTGAAGGAAGTGTGTTAATGTTGCAGTTTTATAACTGTAGTGCAAGCATGCCTCTTGCAAGACAGTGATGGACTGAATGGTGATGAAAGTTTTTCTTTTTCTGGCCACCCTGCCTTGGTGGGAAATGGCTTATGTGTTAATAATAATTAAAAATAAACAACTACTGGAGGATAAATGGGCTAGTGAGAGTATAAGCAATAAGGTTGAAGATGTATGGGGTAGGTTTAACCCTTTCCCCTTCAGTAACATAATATTGTGGCTTGCAAACCAGTTGTCGGCCCTGTAATACTACGCCAAAATTCTAGTGGCTTCCAGTCTTGCAGGAGAAAGCTGGTAGGCCTTCATATGAAAGAATGGGTCTGAGTGGTCAGTGTGTGCAATATAAAACAATCCTGCACCATGCAGTGCATAATGAAAAAAAAAACTGACTGTTTTTTTGGTTTAAAACAATGACTTTGCAATGTATTTTTGTATGGTATTTATGGTTGTATTCTCGTTTTCTTGGTCTCATTTGATAGAATGGAAGATATATTACAGAAATAGGGATGATTTTGAATGGTTTATGGAAACTGAGCTCGAAGTACCAAAAATGTTCTATTTTTGTTGATGTTCAAGAGTAAACAAATCACATCACACATCCAATACACGTCAGCTGGTGGGTCTAATATACTTTCACAAATATGCTGATATTATTAATACCATTTTTACAATAATGCAGTAGTCTGCATAACAGTAAATCTTCTATTTTTTGTGTGAATAAAAATTCAAAATGGAAAGCAAGCGTAATATCAGAGGGGCCTGGAGACATGACTAATGAACAGAGAAAATGTTATTTTAGTGCTAGGAATGTTTGTGTTGTTAATTCTGAACCCTATTTTGTAATTGGCCTTGAATTGTGTATAAAATTTGCCAAATTACCAATATCTGATCACTTTATTGGGTAGCTGAAATTGGTAAATGGGCAGTTTCTTGTACTACTTGATAGAACAAAAAGAGTTCTAGTAAAATAGCTATGAGTTAGGTCAACTGGTACAGTGGAATTGGCTGAAAATAGGGCTTAAATTGGGCGAAATTGCCCAATTTAATATCGCCGAGACCACTAACTTCGCAAGAGTGTAAGTCTATAAACTTTTCAAAAAATTTTGTACTTTTGGTTTCATGCCATTGGAAAAAGATTCTGTATCATTTCATAAGATTTTTTTTTTTTTTTTTTTTTTTTTTTGAGAATTCTTCGACACAGAGCAAGTTTGTGAGCAGGGTTCTTGACAGTGAAAGGGTTAAGAATGTAGTGTTAGAGTGTTCAGCAGAAGTTTGTGGTTACAGGAAAGTGGGTATGGGAGGTAAGAAAAGCAATTGGTGGAATGATGAGGTAAAGAGAACAGTAAAAGAGAAAAAGTTAGCATATGAGAGAAACGTCGTCGTAAGCTTCTCTCTTTTATGTGCGGGTTATTTGTGTATCGTTCCAGTCATGGTATTGTGCCTTTTTGTTATTTATATGAGAGTGTTTACAAAATAGAAGTGATACAAGGAGGGAGGAATATATGGAGAAAAAAAGAGAGGTTAAGAGAGTGGTGAAGAAATGTAAAAAAAGAGCAAATGAGAGAGTGGGTGAGATGTTATCAGGAAATTTTGTTGAAAATAAGAAAATGTTTTGGAGGGAGGTTAATAAGTTGAGAAAGCCTGGGGAACGTATGGATTTGACAGTTAAAAATAGGAGAGGAGACTTGTTAGATGGAAGGAATATTTTGAGGAATTGTTAACCCTTTCAGGGTCCAGAGGCCAAATTTCAAAGTGTGCACCAGTGTCCAAGAATTTTCAAAAAAAATTATGTTTTTTTTTTCTTATGATATGGTAGAGAATCTTTTTCTGAAGGTAATAAAACAAAAAGTACAAAATTTGATGGAAAATTGACGAAATTATGCTCTTGCGAATTTTGATGTGTCAGCAAAATTTACACATCAGCGATTTTGCCGAATTTGACTCCCATTTTAGGCCAATTACCTTATTCCAGTTGATGAAATTCTTAGCTATTTCACAAGTATTACTTCTATTCTATCGATTGAGCACAAGAAATCGCCAACTCAGCTGTTTCAACTACAAAATAAGTGATTGAAAATTGGTAATTTGGCCAATTTAGTGCAAAGTTCAAAATGTTCCAATTTCAAAATAGGGTCCAGAATAAACAATGCAGGCATTCCTGGCACTAAGCTAACATTTCCTCTGTTCATTAGTTATGTTTTCAAGCTTTACAAATGAATTCCATTTTGATTTTTTAATTCACATAATGAATTTTTATTCAAACCAAAAAATAGAAGATTTACTGTCATGCAATATTGTAATAATTGTATAAATAATATCAGCACATTTGTGAACGTATATTAGACCCACCAGCTGGCATGTATTAGACGTGTGAGGTCATTTGTTTACTCTTGAACATCGGCAAAAATTTAACATTTCTGCTATTTTGAGCTCAGTTTCAAGCCATTTTTTAATATTAAAACCAATCAAAATCATCTCTATTTCTGTAATATACTTTCAATTCTATCAAATGAGACCAAGAAATCACAAATACAACTATAAAAAACATACGAAAAAACACTGTAAAGTTGCTGTTTTAATAAAAAAATTACGGTCTCAGTTTTTTTTCTCTCATTATGCACTGTGTGCTGCAGGATTTGTTTTATGTGGTGCACACATCCCACATAAAGGTATTCTCTCAAATCTAGGCCAAAATTTACCGCTCACAACTTATCAGAGTGAACTGAGCTCATGGCATAGATCTACGGTTTGGACCCTCAACGTAAAGCCGTAGATCTACGGCACGGACCCTGAAAGGGTTAAATGTTGATGAGGATAGGGAAGCTGTTATTTTGTGTATTGGGCAGGGAGGAATAACATCTTATAGGAATGAGGAAGAGCCAGTTGTGAGTGTGGGGGAAGTGCAAGAGGTAGTGGGTAGAATGAAAGAGGGTAAAGCAGCCAGGATTGATGGGTTAAAGACAGAAATATTAAAAGCAGGGGGGGGATATAGTTTTGGAATGGTTAGTTCTTTTATTTAATAAATGTATGGTAAAGGGTAAGGTTCCTAGGGATTGGCAGAGAGCATGCATAGATCCTTTGTATAAAGACAAAGGGGATGGAAGAGAGTGTCAAAATTATAGGGAAATAAGCCTGAAGAGTATACCTGTTAAAGTGTATGGAAGAGTTATTATTGAAAGAATTAAGAGTAAGACGGAGAGCAGGATAGCAGATGAACAAGGAGGCTTTAGGAAGGGTAGACCAACTGTTTATAGTGAAACATATAGGTGAACAGTATTTAGATAAGGGTAGAGAGGTTTTTATGGCATTTATGGATTTGGAAAAGGCATATGATAGGGTGGATAGGGGGCACTGTGGCAGGTGTTGCAAATGTATGAATAGGAGGTAAGTTTCCCGAAATGCTCTGCATACAAAGGGGCTTTTGGCATGTACACTCAACTATTATATTCCTCTGTACAATCATGTATCATGTCAAAATAAACATCTTAATCTTAAGCAGTGAAGTTGATACGAGGATAGCAAGGCTCAGGCTAGAGTATGTAGGAGAGAGGGAGATTATTTCCAAGTAAAGGTAGGCATTAAACAGGGATGTGTGATGTCACCATGGTTGTTCAGTATATTTATAGATGGGGTTGTAAGAGAAGTGAATGCTCGGGTGTTGGCATGGGGTGAAAGATAAAGAATCTAACACAAAGTGGGAGTTGTCACAGTTGCTCTTTGCTTATTGTTTATAACACTGTGCTCTTGGGAGATTTTGAAGAGAAGTTGCAGAGGTTGGTGGATGAGTTTGGTAGGGTGTGTAAAAGAAGGAAATTAAAAGTGAATACAGTGGTACTTCGGGATACAAATTTATTTCATTCCAGAAGGCTGTTCGAGTGCCAATACCGAACGAATTTGTTCCCATAAGAAATAATGTAAATTAGATTAATCTGTTTCAGACCCTCAAAAATACACTTACAAAAGTATTAAAATAAACACACTTACATAATATAATTGTTTGAGTTTTGAGCTGCTCGTATCCCAAGGTATAGGAAAGAATAAGGTGATGAGGATAACAAAAAATTTAGGTAAAGAAAGACTGGATATCAAATTGGAGGGAAGGAGTTTGGAGGAGGCGAATGTATTCAGATGTATTTGGGAGTGGATATGTCAGCAGATGGGTCTGTAAAAGATGAGGTGAGTCATAGAATTGATAAGGGGAAAAAGGTGAGTGGTGCACTTAGAAGTCTCTGGAGACAAAGAACATTATCCATGGAAGCATAGAGGGGAATGTATGAGAGCATAGTTATACCAACGCTCTTATATAGGTGTGAAGCATGGGTGGTGAATGTTGCAACAAGGAGAAGGCTAGAGGCAGTGGAGATGTCATGTTTGAGGGCAATGTGTGGTGTGACTATAGTGCAGAGAATCCATAGTGTGGAAATTAGAAGGAGGTGTGGGGTTACTAAAAGTATTATCCAGAGGGCCGAGGAGGGGTTGTTGAGGTGGTTCGGACATTTGGAGAGGATAGAATGAAATAGAATGACTTGGAGAGCGTATAAATCTGTAGTGGAAGGAAGGCGGGGTAGGGGTCAGCCTAGGAAAGGTTGGAGGGTGGAGGTAAATGAGGTCTTGTATGCGAGGTGCTTGGACTTCCAGGAAGTATGCACGGGCATGTTAGATAGGAGAGAGTGGAGACAAATGGTTAATAATAATAATAATAATATAATAATAATAATATCTTTATTTACTACAAGTACTTGTACATGGTATACAGGCCTAACTGACAGCAATGACATACTGCTATATAGAAAGCCCCTTGTTATGCTGAACATTTCAAGCAAATTAGGTCAGTGTCCCAGGATACAACCCACACCAGTCAACTAACACCCAGGTACCCATTTTACTGATGGGGAACATAGGCAACAGGTAGAAAGAAACACACCCAATGTTTCTACTCTGGCTGGGAATTGAACCCAGGCCCTCGCCATGTGCAGCGAGAGCTTTAACCACCAGGCCACCAGAGCCCAGTAGGACTTGATGTGCTGTTGGAGTGTGAGCAAGGTAACATTTATGAAGGGATTCAGGGAAACCAGCAGGCTGGCCTTGAGTCCTGGAGGTGGGAAGTACAGTGCCTTCACTCTGAAGGAGGGGTGTTAATGTTGCAGTTTTATAACATAAGAATAGAGGAATACTGCAGAAGGCCTACTGGCCCATACAAAGCAGGTCCTTATCAAAATGACCTCTACCCAAAGCTACCCAAGAATTAACTCCTGTACCCAATGACACCAATCAAACCCAGCTCCTCCCACTCATATATTTGTCCAATCTCTTCTTAAAGCTACCCAAGGTCCTAGCCTCTGTCACCCTACTGGGAAGATTGTTCCACACATCCACAACTCTGTTAGAAAACCAGTACTTACCTGTGTCCTTTCTAAATCTAAATTTATCCAACTTAAATCCATTATTTCTGGTTCTTAACTGGTTCGACACCCTCAGTACTTTATTAATATCTCCTTTGTTTATGCCCGTCATCCACTTATACACTTCAATGATATCTCCCCTCATTCTACATCTGTCCAGAGAGTGGAGATTTAAGGCTTTAAGTCTATCTTCATATGGGTGTATGAAGATAGAAGCACACCTCTGGCAAGACAGTGATGGAATGAATGACAGTGAAAGTTTTTCTTTTTCTGGCCACCCTACCTTGGTGGGAGACAGCTGATGTTTTAATAAAAAAAATAATAAAATCTATTATACTATACCAGTAGCCATACCGTATTGATCACATACTACCACCATTCTCGAGGTACAGTATATTATGCACTAATACTATTCTGTACTTCATCAGTCATGCTTCATGCTAATTGTATAATTTCATCCACATGACTTTTGACAAGTCATTCTTGCAGCTAATTTCATTAATACAAATTTGAAAAATGTAATATTGAAAATTGTTGAATGCTATCTTCACTTTTTCAGGGTTTAGAATGTTGCTCAGACACAGCAGTTTCTTTTCATTATGTACCACCAAACAAAATGTATGAACTGGAATATTTTCTCTACCATCTACGGCCATATGGAATCAATCACTTGGATCCTTTCCCACCACCACTTCCACCTGACACCAAGAGCATCCCTCAAGAGGTAAGTGCATTCCTCTTTATTATTCATGGTTATTAGTGATTTTTTTTTAACACATCAGCCATTTCCCACTGAGGCAGGGTGACCCATAAAGAAAGAAAAAAACCCTCAAAAAAGAAAAAAGTTATATCATCGTTCAGCACTTTCACCATCATTCATGCATAATCACTGTCTTTGCAGAGGTGTTCAAATATGACAGTTTAGATGTCTCTCCAAACAGCCAATATCCCAAACCCATCCTTTAAAGTGCAGGCATTGTACTTCCCACCTCCAGGGCTCAAGTCCGGCTAACCAATTTCCCTGAATCCCTTCACAAAATATTACCCTGCTCACACTCCAACAGCTTGTCAGGTCCCAAAAACCATTTGTCTCCATTCACTGCTATCTAACACGCTCAGGCACACTTGCTGGAAGTCCAAGCCCCTTGCTCACAAAACCTCCTTTACCCCCTCCCTCCAGCCTTTCCTAGGACGACACCTACCCTGCCTTCATTCCCTAGAGATTTATACACTCTTCAAGTCATTCTACTCTGTTCCATCCTCCTCCTGCAGCACTGCATGCTGCAGGATTTTTTTTTATACTGTGCACATTGACTGCACAGACCCATTCTCTCACATGTAGGTCTACCAGCTTTCTCCCGCTAGATTTGAAGCCGCTAGAATTTTGGTGTAATACCACTGCACAAACACTGGCTTGCAAGCCGTAATACTACGGCACCAACAGTGAAAGGGTTAATTATAACTTAAAATTGCAATTTCTTCATTCAGTGGTGTCATTATTATTGCTTTTAAATCATTTAAAATAAAGGTTCCAAGGTAGCAGATATGGTTGGAGGGAATTTTGAATACACTGTATAGATCAGAGAACAATCTATTAACATGTTTATGAATTTGATGAATGTTTTTCATTCTATAAATTTAATTGCTTCAAAATAACTGTAATTGTAACTAAAGCATTTGAGCACTTACAGGTTATAGAAAAGTACAAAAAGGTCACTGCAAGTACTAAGCCACTTTCACCTACTCCACTTGAGGACATACAGCATCTAGGACAAGAAAAGCAAGGAGGGACAGAGCAGCAACAGTCTGATAAAATTTACACTAATTTAGAGAAAAAGGAGAAATCAGAATTAGTGTAATATTATTGGTTGTTTGTATATATACCATATTATTCTTTCTGTGAGTTTTTAATGTATTATAATTGTACATTTTTCTAGGTAGTAGGTTGGTAGACAGCAGCTGCCCAGGGAGGTACTACCGTCCTGCCAAGTGAGTGTAAAACGGAAACCTGTAATTGTTTTACATGGTAGGATTGCTGGTGTCCATTTTTCTGTCTCATAAACATGCAAGGTTTCAGGTACGTCTTGCTACTTCTACTTACACTTAGGTCACACTACACATACATGTACAAGCATATATGTATATACACACCCCTCTGGGTTTTCTCCCATTTTTCTTACTAGTTCTTGTTCTTGTTTATTTCCCCTTACCTCCATGGGGAAGTGGAACAGAATTCTTCCTCCGTAAGCCATGCGTGTTGTAAGAGGCGACTAAAATTCCGGGAGCAAGGGGCTCGTAACCTCTTCTCCTGTATATATTACTAAATGTAATATGTCCCACCTCGGTGGGATACGGCCGGTGTGTTGAAAGAAGAAAGAAGAATTGTACATTTTGATGAGCAGTATCTGCTCTTTGATATACTTCAGATTTAGTTGAATTTGCATCTAAGATGCAAAGTTACAATTATATTTTAGTGCTATTCAAATATGTACCTAACATTTATTTAATTTATCCTTTCATATTGCTGATGTGAAGTATTGCCATTAAGAATATTTTAAATAAAAAAGATCTTCATTAGGAATTACATATATCTTTAGTTATGCAAAACAAACAATGAAACTTTGTGACAGATTTTTGTAAAGATAGTTAAATTACATTTAGGTACAGTAGACCATTATATTACACGGTAGTTACATTCCTGAAAACGCTGTGTTGGGTAAATCCGTGTTAGATAAGCTGAAGAACTTATGGGAAAAATAGTGTTACATTCCTGGGAGCCCCCAAAAAAGCCAGACAATTTTTTTTTTTTAGACTCCAGATCGTACAAAAATAAAAGTGAATATGTAATTGTTGTTCATTGTCATGATGTATTATGTTTTTTACTGCTTAAGACTACAATTGCAGCAGAAATAATAGTATTTCTTACCTTAAATTGTGGATGCTTGTGTTTGTTGATGATTGTGAAGAAAGTGAAGAGTTATGCTGTGGCCCTACTGGGCTGAGGTGGATGGTAGAGGTTCTGGTACTGAAGCTGATGGTTGCACTGGAGTGTGCACAAATTCTGTAATTGATTTCTGGGTTATTTTATCCTGCAGTACATTATACAGCTGATAGTAAGATATCAGCTGCTCTAGACACTGTTTCAGAGCATTGCTTCTAGATTTGTCAGGGTCCTCTTCAGTGAAAAAGACTAAGTCAAGTCAGTCAAGTAGGTCAGTAAGTCAGGTGAGTCTGTCAGTCAGTCAAGTAAGTCATTCCAGTCAGTACTTCAGTCAAGTCAATAAGTCAGTCAGTCAAGTAAGTCATTCCAGTCAGTACATCAGTCAAGTAAGTCTTTTAGCAAGCCAGTCAAGTCAGTTAGTAAGTCAGTAAGTCAGTAAATGAGATGACATTCTGGGTTATTCATTACACAAACTCATATATTTATCTCATTCTTTTAAATTTTGCAAACAGATACTTCATTAAGGCCACAAGCTCTTGCTGTATCCACCACACGTGAGCCACTCTTATGCTTGTCTAATATATTGGTTTTCTTCCTAACTCCAAGACTTTAATGCTTAAACTTTTTCTTGCCACTTTCAGCAATACTGTATGCCTACTGGGTGCCATGATTGCTTGACAGATACAAGATATGGCAATTAAAAAATCGAAACACAATTCACAAACACAGCTAGCTCCTAGGAGAGAATTGTACTAGACATGTATGCACAAAAGGCTGGGACGGGGGTGCCGGGGTATTGGGGGTGGCAGGGGTGTTGGGGTGGCAGGGGTGTTGGGGTGGCAGGGGATGGCAGTAGGTCTCCCCCACTGACACAGTAGTCTGACCCACAGCCAGGTGGCAGCCTGAGCTAGGAGAATATCCCATGGGTGATGCTCCAAATTTTTTCCCCCACTTGCAAATGGAACCATGTTAAGTAAATTTTACAAAGTGTTGTATAAAATTATGCCACAATTTTTCAAGTGTAATAATAAAAATATGGCAAATAAATGTGTGATATAACAGTCTACTGTAAATCAAAAGAAACAATAAATTGAATATGTATTTTTGGTATATTTTTGTAAAACTAGTCAAAGTACCCTGTGTATTTACTTTCCATTATAGAAAATTTTAAACATTTGAAATAGAAATTTTTTATTTTTTAGCTGCTTTATTTTTCTTTACTAAAGATATTTTGCTTAGAAAAACTTTAGTACTTACAGTTGAGAAGTTCAAATCTATATACAATATACTATTTATTTATTTATGTATCAGCTTATTCTCAAGGCTGTTTCCAAACATTAAGAAGTAGGTCACACAAAATCTATAAAAATTTTACTTTTCTTCTCTACTTTCTAAAAGCTTATATACTCACAAAATCTTTGTGTGTCAGTCATATTTCCTTAGCAATAGAGATTTTGTTTGTTATTGCCTAATTGTTAAATGTTAAACAATTTTATTGTAAATGCCCATATAACATTTACACCATTGGATAACAATCATATCGATAATTTTGTATGGCTCTTCTCTTTATAGAAAGTCTACTTAACTGGCTTGAATTTTGTCATTTTTAGTGCTGTACAATTTTTTGGCTCACATATAAAACTTGTATGGTAAACTTACCCTTTAAATTTATGTTGCATAATTTGTTTCAATTTTATTTAGAATTTTGCCATTCATCATGAATTTTAATTTGCGTTTTAAAAAAGAATCTGCCCATTAACTTTTTGTCTGCACCTAGTCTTGCCTTTATAATTTTGTATTTGGCTTGTATATGTATCTCAGAGTAGCTTGTATTCCTTTTCACACATTTGAAAGCAGAGGTAGCATATTGTATCCATGAATCATTTTCATATTATATGGAAAAATCATTTGATAGAATACTGAGGCCCTCCAACATTTTTTCTAGACGAAAAACATTTTAGTAAATGAGATGAATCCAGTTGCATTAACTTTTTTATAGCAGTTGATCTGATTATGCTTTGGACACTAAATACATAATCAAGACTTTGAATATTATACTTCAAGAGTCCCATGAGGTATTCTATCCTAACAAAGAGAATCTTAATAGAAAGAATATATATGAAAATAGAAATACAGTAATCTATCTTTATACTGTCTCCCGCATATATACTGTACAATAAATTACAATGGGATTTCAGAAACTACATATAGAGTGGACCCCTGGATTTTGTAGTTGTCGGATTTCGTAATATTTGGAAATAGTAATGTTTTTTCGTCAAAATGGCTCGGTGATTGTCATTTAGCTCAGTAATAGTCATTCATCCCGAACGTTACCGAGCGGCCCGACACACCATTTACAATCAGTGTCATTGTTTATCAGCCAGTGAGCACAATCCCATGCATTTATACATTTTGTAATATTCCATTCGTTTTAGTGCTTGCAACTGCCAAATAAGCCACCATGGGCCAAAAGAAAGCTCCTAGTGCCAGCCCTTTGGTAAAGAAGGCAATAAACATGATAGAATTCAAGAAAGAACACACCAGCCAGGGTACTTCCCCACACACCAGTCAGGGTACTTCCCCACACACCAGCCAGGGTACTTCCCCAAACACACGATTTGATTTGAGTGGGACTTGCGCATGAGTGAATAGAATTATCAAAGCTTATTGCTTGGGAAACACTGAAAATTGGGTTGGGCAAATACGATTCTGTTTGTGGGATGGTTTGTGAAGGACCTGCCTAGTATGGGCCAACAGGTCTGCTGCAGTGTTCCTGCTTTCTTATGTATACCAGCCAGGGTACTTGCCCACACACCACCCAGGGTACTTCCCTACACACACCAACCAGGGCACTTCCCCACACACCAATCAGGGCACTTCCCCCCCACACACGATTTGATTTGAATGGGACTTGCACAGGAGTGAATAGAATTTTCAGTGCTTGGGAAGCATTGAAAATTGAGTTGGGCAAATACGATTCTGTTAGTGGGATGGTTTGTGAAGGACCTGCCTATTATGGGCCAACAGGCCTACTGCAGTGTTCCTGTTTTCTTATGTTCTTATGTATACCAGCTGAGGAAATTGCTTCAGAGGAGGAGAAAGAGAGAGGGAAGAAGGTGCCTGTTGCAACCCAGGAGTCCCAAAGGCCTGTTATCCTGGGTGTAAAGGGAGCAGAATAAACACACCAATTTAGAACAGAAGTATGTACACTATATACACTATGTACAACAATAGGTATTAGTGCACTCCACGGTAAGCAAGGCAGAATAGAAGCCACTAGAGAGCAGACCGTGCTTCAACCAGCTCTAGAATGGGAATGACAAGGGCAGACAGGAGAGTGGTACCCACATAACCTCTGCGATTGCCAAAACCATCTTCTCATTGGCTGGAACCTGGGTACTGGTTGAACGACGGGGCCCCCATCACCAACCCTTAGTCCCTGGTTTGCTGGTTGGGGGAGATAGCCTGTAAATGAGGGTGTGTACATGTGTCGAATAAAGGTTACATACTCTTTGCATGCCACACCCTCACCCCGAGAAGGCTCAGGATTAGGCTCCCACTTCCCAGTGGTAACAGTGCCACCATGGCATCAAATAATGGAACCACCTTCCCTCTCAACCATCCAACTCTTAGATAGAGCTCAGCTTTTCACGTGACAAAAAGCCTAACCCTAAACTCAGAGCGAGACAGCAGACAGTCGGGCTAACATAGGTCCAAGACACGGGTGGACGGTAGCCCGCATCCCCTCACTAAAAAAAAAAAAAACCCACACCAGGGGATAAAAAAAAAAAAAAGAGCTTGAAAGGGGTCACCACAAGTAACCTAACATCCTAAACTAATATATAATTGTAATATTGTTAGACTCTAGATAAAGAGTCTGCCAACATATTTTCTTTGCCAGCAATGTGTAAGATTTTGATAGAATAGGGTTGCAGTCGTAGACTCCATCTCATGAGCCTCGTATTGTGGTTCTTCATGGCTTGGAGATATACTAGAGGGTTGTGGTCACTATAGACAGTGACCACCTGCGAAGTCTGGCCCACGTAAACATCAAAGTGCTCCAAAGCCAGTACCAGCACGAGGGCTTCTTTTTCAATGGTAGAGTAAGCCCTCTGCTGTGGCTGGAACTTGGCAGAGAAGAAGGCTACAGGCTGCAACTCCTCGTCCCCGTTTTGCAACAGTACTGCCCCAACCCCAGACTCACAAGCATCAACCTCTAATGAGAAAGGTTTGGAGAAGTCTGGAGACAAAAGAATGGGTGCAGTACACAATAATCTTTTAGCTTTGTCAAAAGCACCTTGACATTCTGGGGTCCAATTAAAGGGAACTTTGTAACTGGTAAGAGAGGTAAGAGGGGCTACAATATCTGAAAAATTCTTGCAGAATCTTCTGTAAAATCCTATCATGCCTAGGAAACGTTGAAGAGATTTCCTATCATGTGGAACTGGATAATCTTTAATGGCAAGAAGTTTAGCAAATTTAGGAGCAACTTTACCACTACCTACTTCATGGCCCAGAAAAGTAACAGTGGCCTGGCCAAAGGAAGATTTAGATAAGTTAACAGTTAAATGGGAACTCTGAAAGGTCTCAGAAAGAGCCTAAAGTCTAAATAGGTGTTGATCCCAAGTATCAGACACCACAACAATATCATCCAGGTACGCTGCCGTGCCTTCAAGTCCTTTAATAGCCTGATGGATAAGTTTCTGGAATGAAGAGGGGAAGTTTTTCATTCCGAAGGGGGTAACTGTATACATGTATTGATAATGACCTCCTGGAATTACGAAGGCAGAGATTTCCTTCGCCTTATCCATCAAAGGTACGTGATAGTAACCTTTAAGGAGATCTAACTTGGACACAAAAGTAGCCTTACCCACAAAGTCGATTATGTCATCCAGACGAGGAAGAGGGTAAGCATCTGTGATTGTGACCTCATTCACCTTTTGGTAGTCTGTACACATACAAAAACCTCCATCAGCTTTTTTAACGAGGATGCACAGTGAAGCCCATGGACTAGATGACCCCTCCACTAACCCACACTCTAACAGAACTTCTACCGCCTGCTGAAGTAGCTTCTGCTTTTCAGGATTAGCTCTGTAGGGGGAGAGTTTAATAGGTTTAGAGTTTCCCACATCTACATCATGATAACCTAACATACATTTTTTCGGCACATACGAAAAAATATCAGGGTATGACTGTAGAAGCACAGTTAAACTTGTTGCTTGCATTTCAGATAGTCCCTCCATTAAAGGTTGTTGAGGAAGACAGAGTTTGGAAGTTTGATATTAATTTCAGAAATAGAGTGCAAAGAGTCAGAATCGTCCTCAGAGGTAGAGGACAGAGTCATTACTGGGACTTTATCTGGTGTATGGAAAGATTTTAATTGATTAATGTGGTAAGTTTTAGTTTTTGAGGTCTTATCAAGGGGAGCTACCACATAATTTACATCAGATAACTTACTTACAATTTGCATAGGTCCCGTAAATCTAGCTTTCAAGGTGCGGCCAGGTATAGGTTCCTGCACCAACACCTTGTCTCCTGGATGGAAGGAGTGGAATTGTGCATTATCGTCATACCTCGTTCATCTTATTTTGAGCTGCCTTTAGGTTAGCCTTGGCTAACTGACCTGCCACCTGCACCTTGAAGACGGGTTTGTAGAGTGTTGAGCTAACGTCTTCTCCCATCCATCCTTCTTTGAGCACCCAAAGAGGACCTCGTACATTGTGCCCAAAGTTCAGCTCAAACGGACTATACCCAGTAGACTCCTGCACCGTTTCTCTTATTGAAAACAGCAACAAAGGTAGTGATTCATCCCGGTCTGTAGGAAAATGCATGCAAAAAGTTCTCATCATGGGTTTTTAACGTCTGATGGAATCTTTCAAGTGCCTTGGACTGAGGATATAAGGCAGTGGATAAGTTGTGGATTATCCCTAACCTAGTTAATGCTTCCCTAAATGCTTTGGCAGTGAAGTTAGTACCTTGATCACTTTGAATAGTTTTAGGACTGCCAAAACAAGAAATAAATCTGGTTAAAGCTTTGAGAATAGCTTTAGTATTAATACTGCGCATGGGAATTGCTTCAGGGTATCTAGTTACTCTATCAATAATGGTAAATAAATACTGATTTCCAGATTTGACCTAGGTATTGGACCTACACAGTCTATGATTAATTCTGCAAAAGGTTCTCCATCAGCAGATATAGGGTGGAGAGGTGCAGGTTTAATTGAATGTCCAGGTTTCCCTACTTGCTGACATTCTCGGCAACACCGGATATGATTCTTCACATCCTGCTTTAATTTTGGCCAATAAAATTCTTTTGTGATTCTATATAATGTTTTAGTAATTCCTAAGTGACCTCCTAATGAAGTATTATGAGCTATATTCAATATTTGAGGTCTAAACTTCGTTGGAACTACTAACCTGTCTGACAGTTGTCGGCCCTCTATCTCCTTACCAGTCTCAGTGCAGATCAAATAGTCGTTTTTAAGTTTATACTTGACCGGATGATCCGAAAAGGGTTTACCCATGGCTGCCTGAAAAGCGAAATTCAAAGAAGGGTCCTTTCGTTGTTCCTTCCGGAAGGACAGTCCCTCGGGCATGGAAACAGAGATATCTGGCAATCCTGCAACCTTGGAATAGGAAGGCTTGATCTGGGTCTGTTCACTTGATCTACGAGGCCCTGGC